GCTAGTCCAGCTAGCCCCGAAGTTGCACAAAGCCTAGAGAGAGAACCCAAGGAAAAGAGCATCCACAGACCCACAGAGAGAAGGGTTTGAGTGGGTTTGAGTGTTCTACGCGAGTGTTCCGATGAAGTGTCCTAGAAGAGTCTCGCACCAGAGTGCTGAGAGAGGAGTGTCACGCGAGAGTTCTCCAAAATGGCGTCCTACTTGTTGGTCTCGCGCACCATTGTCCCTCACAGTCTGGGGTCATGCTCCTTATGGGTTTGTGGATGTTTGTGGGTGAAAAAGCTTGCTTGTAACATCTTAATTGTCATGGCAACCCTTGTTGTGACGCATGTCATTTGCCGTTGATTTCAAGAGTTTGTTTAGCATTCCAACAGTTGATTTCCAAGTTTCATCTCCATTTAGGTCATCACCGATCTGCAGAGAGAGAGAGAGAGAGAGAGAAAAAGAAGAGAGAGAGAGAGAGAGTGGTGAATGACTTGAGTGTGTTAAGAAGTCACAGAGGGCAGAAAATGAGGATCAACCACCTTGGCAAACAGAGAGTGCGCGCGCTAAATCTGAACTCAGACCTTGAGTTGCAGAGAACTCCACGCTTCGCCAGCTGTCCTTTTTTAACAGCCCCCAAATTCAGCTGCTCAATTGGATCTACGACAACTGTGGCAGCCAAGCGATGCCGAATGCATAGTTGCAGTTCTGTTGACCACATCAGCCAGCATTCATTGCTGGGTCATGTTGTTCGAGTCAGAGGTCGCCGAAGCCTTGGAGAGGGGATGACATGAAACCGGAGGTCGGAAATTCTCTTTTTTTAAGACTCTTATTCATGTGATGAACCAAGGATGTATTGGTGGACGCCAGACAACTCATTCTTGGAGCTGGACCCGCAGCCATTCGTTTTGCCGCCCCAGGACAAATTCGCCTACAGCCAAGGTGATGTCACGACGGCGTCCGAAGATGTTGATATCGCCAAGGTTATCAGTTCCGATTTGGAGTTCATGGCGCCCAACTTGGTGAAACTTTTGGGCCAGAGCTTGTTCCGAGGCTGCAGTGTGCAAGATAGAGGGCCAAACACCAAGCTCTCATGTGTAAAAGATGCAGTGAAAAGTCAGGGGGTTAGGCATGTTCTGAGGATTTCCTTGGATGAGATCAATGACATGATGCGCACATGGAAGGCCAATTCTTCAGCTTCGCGGCACGAGGTGGCCTGCGACTGGCTCAAGAACAACGAGAAAAGGTGGCGAAGTTGGATCCCCGATCCGACCGTTTGCAACCGAGGCACGGGAAAAGGGCCCGACACCATGCGTGAGATGACGAGTTTGTCACTCAAATCGCTGCTCATGAAATTTGCTCATTGCAATAGACTTCCTCAAACTTGCAGAGGCTCTGGGCTTTATAGCGAGGAAGCTCGAACTTTCACGGCAACCAGAGCCACCGCCGATTCCTGCCGAGCTTGCTCCCCGGGCATGTACTCCACACCGTTGCAAGACCATGTGGGGAACACCTATATGCTTCTGGGATGCGCCAAAACAAACTAGACGACAGATGGCCCGGGAGCGTGGAACGAAAGAGTATGTAGAAGAGTATTATCGCGAAAGATGTTTAGATTCGATCGCGCGCGGCGCGTTCTGCATATCAGCAAGTCTAGTGGTTTGCGTCCTTGCGCCGCGAGACTTCGAGGTGAAACGGTTGAGAGAAACTGCTGTAGGACATATGACATGGACTTCTCCAGAGGAAGTTTTCCAAAGGTGTTGGGCACATATTGTCATGATGCGTATGCCAAAACTTCTCGCGTGCAATAAACAACACACCCCGGATAATGCACTTAATAAACAACACAACTCGGATGCCTATAATTACCTATACTACACTCATAAAACAGCTCCATATAAGGCTGTTATTCTTCCCTGTTTCTCGATTCTGTCTCACCGCATATTCCCCACGCATCATTGCATCAGTTTACCACAGCAAGAGTCCAGCGACAGATCTATTCCATTTCGCATACTGTACATGTGTACTGAGCCAGCCTTTACATGTGTACTGAAGTAAGATACTATAGCAAAAGCAACCGTACGAGAGCCATTCGCAATAAGTGTCCTATTACAACATCCCTACCAGCAGCTCTAGAGAGTGCCGGAGCAAGGAAACACGAGCGCACTAGTATCTAGGCGCACTGCATATCCCACTAGAAAGAACAGAAGACGATTCAAAAACTAGCTCCGATTCAGAAACTACGATTCAGAAACTTGCGATTCTGAAACTACAGAGTGTCCCGATTCAGAAACTCACCCGATTCAGAAACTAGCCGATTCACAACCGGCCGATTCAGAAACTATCCGATTCAGAAACTGAGGGGTGGGGTGGTGGGGATCTAACGAAATGTTTGTGTTGATATAGCGTGGACATATTCGTATTTCACAGACCCGATTCAGATTCAGACCCGTTCTAGTTTCCGAATCCTAGTTTCCAAATCCGCGCCGTGCCTAGTTTCCGAATCCGTGGCCACCCTAGTCCGAGGCTCTAGTTTCCGAATCCGCTGTTGACCATCATAGGAAGGTACGATATACAGTGAATTGCCTAGGTGTACCAGGCACTCAGAGGAAATTTGTGGACCTAATTCAGCTACACGGTATGCTCCAGACTAGGCACAACAATGTATAACCCAGCACCGTGTGCACCGCCAATCATCCCTCTCCCCATCGACATGCCGAATTTACACAAGCATGGTTTCCTTCCCCCTGTGACACGGACTCTCGCAAACGACATCAAAGGAACAGTGGCGCAGCGACATCACAGACGTAATTTGGCCACACGGTGTGCCACAGACCCGTTCGCAAGCCACAGCTCCCAGAAACTGCTTCCTGTACGTATTACATTTGTACTACAAGTGGGCTGTTCTGAGGCCACAGCTCAGAAGCTACTTCCCGTACATGTATATGCCGTGCCCAGGACAGTTTCACACTTTCGCAACCTCCACCTCCGCTTTCGACGACGGTTACACACTTTGGCAGCCTCCACCTTCGTTTTCGACGATGCTTTTATACACTTTGGCAACCTCGGCGGCAGTCACACGCTTTGGCAACCTCCGCCCTCGTTTTTGACGACAGTTACGCACTTTGGCAACTTACAGCTTCCGGTGCCATGCCCGACGGCAGTTACACACTCTGGCACCTCCCACCGTCAACTTCAACGACAGTTGCGCCCTCACGTTTGAGCAAAGGTATCACCGCGCTCACGCAACATTTGCATTTCGCCCCACGTTTGAGCACTCGACGCGCAAGGGTTCATCCGGCCCACGCAAACCTTGCATTTTCGCCAAACGTTTCAGCACTCGACTCGCACGATCTCCGCAAAGGATGCAAAGGGTTCATTGGGCACAGCCGGAGTTCGCACACGATCCGCGCAAAGGGTTCATCCAGCCAGGCCAGAATTTGCACTCCGCCTCACGTTTGCGCACTCGACACGCACGATCTCCGCAGAGGGTCACGTTTCGCAAGCCCTGTTCCCGGCGAAAGTTGCCCAAGCAAGAACCAAGCAAAGTCCCAGCACCAAAACAATTCACCACAAGCGAGATCCCAGCACCAAAGCAATTCACCAAAGCAAGGTAGAAAGTAGAAACCTGCAAATGTACTGTAGCATACCTATTGTAGCATACAAACAACTGCAGCTATAGGACATGTTTGTTTCGCACTGCGGCCGCCTTCGCCGCTCGCGTGGAACCGTGTGGGGCGGACCACACCGACCGAGGTGTCAGGCATGTCCTGCTGGAACTCAGCAATTATCGGCTGGAGCGGTGGAATGCGACGCGTGTCCCAGTGGCACTTTCAAAGATGCTCAGTCAGTTGATGAGCGTGCTCCATGCGCCCTGGCATAAAGGTTGTTGATTATGGTTGAACGTAGTGACGTAGGCAACCTGGGACACGACGGCCACTTTCCTGAGGCCTTTCAGGCTACTACCAAGATGAGTTCGGGGCGCTCGCCTGCAAGAAATGCCCCGAGGGCACAACGACCCTGCTTTTGGGCACCAAGTCAGGATCGGGTCAGCCCAGTTCAGTTGCAAGGTATGCTGAGATGCAATGCATCCAAACCTCAGACATCTAAGGCATCCATTCGACTCCGGAACTCGCGCCTTCGTACTTGTATTGGAGTGTAGGGTGGGTTGCCTTTATGTTCAACCTGTGCAGGACTTGGTTGTGGCTGCGAAGAGGGCAGCGTCGACATTTCCGGGGACTCTTGGTTGCCAGTAAAGATAGACAAAAATCCAGGAAAGTTTCTCGTCAAACTCTTGCCCATCGCGATTTTTGCACTACCTCTCGCATGTGCACGCATTGCCTCTTCAAGCGCCATTGATATATCAAAACATGATGGCTCAGTGGTGCAGTTGGCAAATGGCAAGGCTTCTGGAACGTTTGGTCGTCCAAAACTGCTGGAGAATTACTCGTTTTCGAGTTCGCGTGGCTGAGGATTTGTCCACACCTGCTCTTTGTCAGCCATGTTTGGAGGGGCTTACATGCCCAACCATGTCGACTCTGGAGAACTTGAAAGCAGGTTCTAGCCCATTGGGCCCGACAACTGTTCCGCAGGCCGGATTGGTTTCAGGCAGCTATGCCGTTCATGCTGCTGTGTGAACGGCCGAGTGTTCTGATTACGTGTGCTTTTGCGTTGTGCTTTCAATAAGATCAGAAAATGCCTGGCAGGTTGAAGCGGGCTATTTCACCACAGCTGCCGATCCATTGGTCACCTTCAAGTGTGTCAATACCTTGGATTGTCCTGGAGGCACGCCTGGCACTTGCGGCGGGGCCCTAGAAGGAGTCCCTTGCGGAGATTGCCCTCAAGGTACATTCTATGCCGGCGAGGCTGCCTGTGAACAGTGCTCAGCGGGCGCCGTTATTGCTTGGATCGTTTCTTTGGGCCTGGTCCTTCTTGGCCTGATTTGGGCTTACCATTTTCTGAACTCCCCAATCACCGCCAAGGCGTCCACGCTTTTCAGCACTACATGTGCGATTGGAATGATGATCAACCTGCTTCAGAACTTGGGAATCATTGGGACCATGTCAGTGCTTTGGCAGAATGCCATGCTTTTGTTTGTTGTGGCTTGTGTTGTCCCTGTGGGGAAAGCATACAGATTGGGTTTGCGCAGAATAGGTAAGGAAACTGTGCAGACACGGCCACGGTTGAGCAACATTGAGTTCTGTAACCCTTTTGATTTGTCAGTCTTGTTCGACAAATTGGCACCAAAAACTGCAATCTGTGCGTCCCTGCCAGGTGCCTTGGCCTGTGAATTTGGCCGGCTTCTTCAGCTTCATGGAAGTCTTCACCTTCGACATCGATGGCCTGGCTTTCGCTTGCATCAGTGGCGCGCAGCCGGTGTGGCGCTACATCTTCACGGTGTGCTTCTTCCCTGTGGGCATCCTGTGGTTGGCCTTCTGCGGTGCAGTGAGCCGATGCATTCCCAGGCTGCAAAGCTGGGACCCCGCCACGCGACAGCGCATTCAAGTTGGGTTGACCATGACAGGCGGTTCCAAGGTGGTTTGAAGAGAACTTTAGCAGGCCATCTTGAGAAAGCCTGGCATATGCTCTGAATATCTCTGAATTCTTAAAGCTTTGCATGCTCAGGTGAAAGTCCGGAGCACCATTGGTCAATTTCTGCAAGTGGTTTTTTCAACCATGAGCAGCACCGCTTTGGTTCCATTGGTGTGCTACTCCCATCCAAGCGGACAACGAAGCAACTTCAAGAACCCCAACATCATTTGTGGCTCCGAGCCGCACACGGTTATGGTGATCTTTGGCAGCCTGCTGCTGGTGTTTGGCTTCCTGAAAGCACTGAAGAGTTCATGAGGATCCTGAGGGTCTTTGGAGCCCCTGAACACGACCCCCTGCACTAATTTGCCCTCCACTAAATGGCCCTAGTATGGTTTGAATTGAATAGGATCCTACCAAGGCCTACAAGTGGGCAGTTAATTTGGACCATCATGATATGAGACGTGGGGCGGTTCGGTTCATGGTTGTTCCATCGCAGCAAGAAACACCGAGGTGTTTGTGGTTTTTTGGCCCTTTGCGCATGGTTGGCGTACATGTGCCCAACTTTCAGCAGTACAGGGCGTTATGGCATGGTTCAGAGCTCACGATTTCTCCTTGGCCGTTTCCGTCTCGATGTTTGGTGGTACGGCGTGCCCCTTCTGTTGCGCGGATCCTTGGCCTTCGGAGAGACACCGTGGTCCCGGCGGTGTGTGTGGTTGGCGGAGGTGTTTTCGGATAGGGGGAGCATCGCCGTTTGTAGTTTACATTTAGTGCCGGCTCGCACTGATAGCCGCTGATAGCCCCTGGCAGAAAGATGTTTGCCAAGCTTCCTGTCTACATGTGATTTCGATGGTGATAGGGGAAGAATCGCAAATGGTTCCTCCTATGCGCATGCCCAATTTGACGTTTCCGCCACGATTGCCTACGTGTGAAGCAGATTTCCCTCCGACCGGTGTCGAAGTGACTTCGGTGGATCGGGTGTTTATTTTTTGCATGATGGTCTTGGTCGGGCATTGTCCCCTTCACACGGGTGCAGAATGTCGATAGCTGAGCCCGTTCACTCCCAAAAACTCACATGGAAACTGAGGTTTTGGCACCCTGAAAGACTGGTTTCCTCTACAAAGTAGTGGTTCTCAGGGTCCATGGGATCGTCCTCAGCGGGGTACTGTGGCTGGTGAGCTGTCCGTGGGTTTTGTGTGATACAGATCACTTCCATGTGAAGTGGTCAGACTTCATTTTGACCCTCGCGAGTATGTGGCTCTTATTAGATTCTTAGATATTGGAAGAAGTGGCCTGATGAAAGTACCGGAGTTTGAGTTTTCTGACTCATTCCTCCGGTCGAAGCATCCCATGTCGCTTGTTCTCCAAGTTCTGAAGGTGCCAGGCACTGGCAATTGAAAAGGTTAGCTTTGCTCTCCCAGGCCCATTGTTGGCGATGAGTGCAGTGATCTTCCCAGATTCGGCGGCAATTCAGATCTTTTGCTGCCAAATAATTCTGATCTTCTACATTTGTCTTCAGGTTGGATCAAGATTCAAGATTTGCCGCCTTGTTTTTGCATGGTGCGCGTTTTGTGTTTCCCTTGCACGTGTATTCTTACAGCAGGTGGCCCTGAATCAGGTGTACAGTTGGCCCTGGAAAGCGCCCATCTTGAACATTGTGGACTTTGTGACCTGTTTGTCCTTAGCAGTCTTGGTGGTCTTGACAGGCCTCTATGTGCCTGAAGTCACAGGCGACACACTCCGTGCAGTGCAGATCTGCAGTATGATCTTGCTGGGCATCATCTTTGGAGTGGTTGGCCTGATGATTCTCTTGGCAATTGTGGCCTTGTTCCACCGTGCTGCAATCGGTAGCCAGCAGGATTGACAGTTCAGAATTGGATGCCCAAAGATCTGCAAATTCTTTGGTTTTTAGCTGTTGGAGCTTTTTCTTGGGGGTGTATGCTAACCCGACAGCCAACAGTCAGCAAGCACTCGCTGCGAGCATCACGGCGCGCAATATGTCGGCATAGCGCATGCGTCCACATAGTCCACACAGTCCACATTGAGTCCACATGCTTCGGAACCAGCTCCGGAACTTGGTCGAGGAACTGCTCCGGAACTTGCTCCAGGACCTACTCTCGAACCTGAATCCAACCGAACCCTCCTATGGAAACTGCTCCGGAACCTGTATTGGAACCTGCTCGGTGTTTTTGCACTTGTCTCCCTGCTTGTCTCCTTTATTACAAGTGCTCTTGGCCGGCCACTTGTCTCGGCCTACTCTGGATACACTTGGCCGGATGTTCTAAACACTTGTCTCCGCTTGTCCTCTCTTTGCTTGTTTCCAGGTTTCACTTGCCTCCCTCCTTGTTACCCTTCTCTCCACTTGTCTCGGCCTACTCTGGATGCGCTCGGCTGGATGTTTTTCACCTGTCTCCACTTGCCTCTTTGCCAGCTCCCTGCTTAGACACTCTTGGCCAAATGATTTTATAAAACTGTGTCGAGCTTTGGGCAGGTTTGGGTGCACAGTATTCATTACATATGTTACACTGTCCATTTTGGCTCAAGCCAAAAGTGGGACAGTGGAGTTTCTGTTCTGCTTAAGTTTTGCTGTGGTCGCTGTGGATGGCTTCCCAGCACATCGTCGGTGTGCATGTCGCCAGGTCGATGCTCTTCTGGCCCGGGGGGACCGGGCAGGCGCCTTGCGGCTTTGGAGCTCGGTGGTTCTATTCGAACACATGCCTCCGTCTACACGCCCGGGGGACGGGCCAGCGGGTTTCCCCTCTATGCGGATCTCAGTCTGCCCCAAGAGTGAGTGTCCACGGTGCGATCAAGGGCGAGGGGGCTTTGTTTTCCCGTGGGTCGGGATTTGGAACCACCACGGGACCATCGTGCCCCCCTGGGTTCACTCCTCAGCAGGCTTGGGATAGGCATGCCCGGTTGGACGCCTTGATGGACCTCCTTTTGTTGCAGCCCTACCGTACCCCGTATTCTGCAGACAATTTTGTGCCTTCCTATTTATGGGAGTTCATGCAGAAGGTTCCCGGAGATTTGGACCTCTTGCCCCTGCAGACCTTTCAATCTGAAGTTCTCTACTACATGCGGCACTGGATTTTGGGATCACCACATGGGTTGTGGTCCAACCCCTTTCGTGCCCCGCTGCCAGATATCACGCAATTGCCGCGCCACCTGGACGCTCTCCACCCGAAGATCCGCGCCCATCGAGCTCTTCGTGGATGGTTGGGGTCCTCAATCAACGGAGAGACGGAGTTTCCTCCAGCATGTTGCGGGTGATCCCACTTATCGGCAGTGCCTTGGTTGTATCAAGGGAGTGTGTGCCGCCTGTTTCCCAGTGCTCCAAATCTGTCCGGTCTGCCGCGAACTTTCGTCGTCTGATGACGATAGTGGGTAGTTCCGTGGGTGCGCAAGCCATGGCATACCGTGCGCAGGTTGCTGAAGCCGTGGAGGCTTCAGGGGATGAGCCTGCCTCTTCCGCCGGCTGGCGGGCCGAAGACAGCTTGGCCCGGGTCGCAGGAGCTCGCGCCATCACCTGGCGGCGTGAGTGGGGCTACGAGAAGGACGAAGACTTTGCATTTGCCTTCTCCACCTGGGAGGAAGCTGTGGCCGTGGATGCGTGGCTTGCAGTCCGGGTCGCCCAGCAGGAGGAGCTCCTACCTGCAGCCGCTCGTCTGATCGAGGGGGGACCTCCGGTGCCGGATACACGTCCACTTGAGGCGGGGGTATGCCTCCATGAGCGGGTTCAGAATCAGCCCGGGTCAATTCAGCGCCAGGTCCTGGCTCTGCAGAAGGTGTTCCTGACCGTGGGTGCTTTGAAGCCTGATGGGCTGTTGACTGAGGCACTGAAGCGCGACTGGCAAGCTTCCGTCCTTCGCTTGGCGCAAACCAAGGTTGCGGAGTCCGAGTCGGTGACGATTCAGAATGCTCTCCGTACATACGGTGACCTCCACGCGTTTTTGTTCCACAGAGGGAGATCGTTCCCTCCGGCCTTCGTGGACATGGACAACTTCCTGCATCAGGGGATGATGGCCCCTACCCGCGCGCTCAATGCGCTTCGTTGGTTGTGCAAACATTCTGGAGCTCCTTGGGGCATCGGACGGCTTCATCTCCCCTGAGTTGAAGAAGGCCACTTCAACGAAGAGCCAAGCCCTTGTTGTGGAGCCCGGCATGTTGCAGCTGCTGGAAGAGCGCATTGAGAGCATGTGCCGTGGGGGGGGGCCCGCGGTGGACATGCCTTTTGGGGTCTTGGCTCGTGGCTACTGGTTGCTTGCGGTACCAACACCTTCGTCGGTCAACCATTCGTCGGGCCAGTTTGATGGTGTTTCATGGCCACTGTCGCAGGGGCAAGCAGCGTCACGCCCGAGGTGGCTTTGATTGGTGCGCCCCCGCTGAGTTTGCCTCCGGGTTCACCTGGACCGTTGAGTGGCTCAAAGAATGGAAGGCCCTTTCCCCTGTGGCCCAGAAGAGTTCTGGCATTTGTTTCGATAGGCGTGGGACGGAACATCGCCGAGGTGCAGCACCTTTGCCAGTCGATCTTCGCCGAGTTCTTGGACAACCCCAACCAGTTGACCACTTACTCATGGAGGCGGCTGCTTCCAACCGTGGGCCATATTTTGAACATGTCATCCTCCGACCTTTGCTCCCTGGGCAATTGGCAAGACGGGTCAAAGGAACCGGCTGATGCCGGGATGGCGCTTCACTATTCGTCGGCCCGCTATGCACAGTCGCTCCGCAACAAGATCCTGGCGACTTCAGTGGCTCACAGCTGTGAGGGTCACAGCTTTTGGGAGGAGGTGCTCCCTTCCGATTTGGATGGATTTCGCGAGGTGGCCAAAGAGAAGCTCGCCTTGTCCATAGCGAGGGATAAGGAGACGCTGTATGCCGCCCAGCCTTCCAGGGCCCGCGTTGCGGCCGTGTCGGCCACCAAGATTCGGGTGAGCGCTCAGCGCCCGGCGGTGTCCATGCCGGATGCCATCCGTGGCCGCGTGCTGACGGCCTTCTTGAAGAATGGTCGCCGCCTTTGCGGGGCCTTTCAGATGCCCTCGGGTTGCGACGAGGGAGCAGAGGTCTGCGGCAATGCCCACCTGTGCGCTGTCCTTTTGGCCCGGGGTCGGGCTTGTGGTGGCAGCCATAGGGCCTTCGTTTGTACGGAGAAAAAGTATTTGGCCGCAGCTACGCTAGTTCCAGTTCGAGCGTCTGCAGCATCGGCTACTACCTCGACACAGTCCAAGGCTAAGCCCACGGCGAGTACCAAACGCAGGCGGGAGGGAAGCGGCCAAGAGAGCCCCCTCACCACCGCCTCTTGCCAGGACCCCCCCCTTGGAGGCAGTCAGCGCCATCGGCCCCGAGCACACTGCCCATCCCTGCTGTTTCGCCAGGCCCTCAGCAGAGTCATTGGGATCGCTTGGCCACATCTGAGGGGCGTGACACTCTCGCTCCTACCCTGATCATGACCACACGGTCAGGTGGACAGTTATGGCTAGCAGGCATTCCCATTGCAGAGACAGTGCAGTACTATCCCAAGACACACCTTCAGATCGCTTGCCTACCACAATACCCCGAGGGTCGGGGCGGTGTGACCTTGCCGCAGGCGTGCATCATGAAGGTTCAGATGGGCAGCAAACGCGTGGATCATGAGTTCCGGGCTGCATGGCCCATCATCCATCAGAGCGTGCGCTGCGGAGATTCCGTGTTGGTGCACTGCATGGCAGGTAAGCATCGAGCCCCTGCATGCACAGCCTTGATCTATGCGCTCATGATGGGAATCTCGGTGGATGAAGCAGCCGAGAAGATCACCAAGATGCGGCCTTGCGTGGAGTTCCACAAGTTCTGCCGCGATCGCACGGCAGCGCAGTGGCTGTACAAGACGAGGCGCACTTTGTCATTGCCACCAGTGCACCCGCAGCCGGCTGGATATCTGGCTTCGGATCGTTCGAACATCCACCTGTGCACCGAAGGCCGTGTTGCCCTTTGTGCATTCAAGCAAGGAGAAGCTCGAGACGAGCAGCGCCTCAAGGACGCCCACTTCTTCAGCAGCTTCTTGGAAGCGAGCACGCTCGCCCGCCCCGTTTGCGAACAGTGCTGGAGCAAAGCCCCGGCTTCATGGCAAGCGCGAAGCTGAGCTGCTGAGCAGCCCACCGATCTGTCGGTCGGCGAGTGGCTGCACCTCATAAGAGCCGGCGGCCTCCGTAGACGCCCCTTTTTGTAGACTGCGTCATGTGTAGCCTAGCGAGGCGACCGGAGAGCGCGCCGCCAGCGGAAAGAGCGCTGTGGGTCAGTGAGTCTCTTGCTGTGTTGTCACGTTTCGATTTGGGGGTGATCCCAAAGTCAGCAGGAATGCTGTGTGGCCTGGGGTTCAGGGCCTTTGTCATGCGCAGAGCTTTCATGTTCAGTTGATGTCTTTGCACATTTAGTAGCTTGAGCATCCGTGTCCGTGTGCACCTAGGATCTCCGCCTCGCCAGCTCCTTTCGGCCGATAGAGGCGAGGTGGGTCCTCGTGGTACCACTGTGTGAGGTAGGTCCTCACTTTCCCTAGGGAGGGTCCCTGTGTCCCCACATGGCGTCTAGCTTGCAACTCGTGCCGAGTGACGGTGCGGATGCTGCGGCTACGTTCCGCCAGCTAGGGGTCAACTTCAGCATAGCTGAAGCGGTCACCGATGCCCTGGTCAAGGCTCGGCTCCAAAACTTGGAGGAGTTTCGCTATTTTTTCGAGAGTGAGGATAAGGTGCAACCGTGGTTGTCTAAACTCTCGTTAGGCGAGGACGCCAACCTCCAGGGGGCGAGGGTTCGTCGGGCGTGGGCCGCCGTGTCGCTCTATTTCAAACAATCCGAACAGGATCGCTCTCGCATCTCGGCATCCGATCT